GTCGATCTTCTGACATCTAGAACTGGCCGATACCGCTGCTCCTTTGTACCTAAGGTGAGGAGATTGTGGAACAACCTATAAGAGGAGGCTTTTCCCAGTTCTACTAAGCGCAGGCAGTTCAAAAATCGGATTAACAAGGTTTCTTTGGGATCCTCATTGCAGCCGTGGAGTCCTGGCATTGAGGCTTTTGCCTGCGCAGCTTTTTCGGTTTAAAAAAGAATGTTTATCTGACCGAATCAAAACCACATGTTTAAAATTGCTATTTATTCAATGTACGACGTTTCGGTCCCAACGGAGTCCTTATTAAAGTACAAGTGACACTTTTGTGAAAATATATTTTATTTATCTGTCTTCCAGGCGACACTTTTTTCCTTCCACCCAGAACTATGGTCGTAATACAATTGTTAGTCAATCTTCGACTAGAATGCCGCATATGCATTTTTTATGGATCTGAAATAGGAGAAATACTACTTCGACAATGCTATTTGTCTCGTGAGGAAATAACATAAGAAACAACTGTTTGACCTTAAGATGGCGAAGTAAAACATATGCTCATTCGAGATCCATTAAAAACCACCCGAAGGAACATGGATGAAAAACTAGTGGTTCATTAGTCAGGTTGGAGCATATCAATTAGGCCTTTCCTTCAAGGATACTGAACCAAATTGGGTTACAGTCTACGGCACAAATGGACAAACAATTGTTGTTTAATGTTATATAGGCTGATTCATTTATCTTCCTTTTGTAGTGCCAATGCATGCCTAGTGCCTACATTGTATTTGTACCTATAACTGACATTCCACATGTACGAGGACTGTAAACTAAGTATAATTACAATTTTATATTGTCACCCTCAAAATGAAGCTATACAGCGCTGGAAACGGTTCTTCCTCTCCTCATAGCGGTGCTGGAACTCCGATACTGGAATAGTCTTCAGCTGGTCGGTTACAGCCGTTTGAATGTCTTGGAATGCCCCAAAATAATTTTTCAATTTTGGAAAGATAAGAAAACCACAATGACTCAAGTCAGGCGAATAAGGAGGCTCAGGAACCAAAGGAATGTTTTACTGGCAAAAAACTCGTTTATTTACATTGTTACCTGACAAGAAGCATTATCGTGATTCAACACCCTGTTGTTCGGGATCTGATGAACGGTGGTGTGAGCAAATTTAACTCATCATTCTATCAACCGACGATCTGAATCCGCAAGCTCCGGGATTATGTCGATATTTTCATCGGTTCTTGAAGATGAGGGCCTCAATCCACCGAAAAGCCAGCGCTCTTGACAAAACACGATCTCCGTAGACTTGTTCAAGTTTAGCAAGAGTTTCCGATGCACTGTGCCCAAGTCTGAAGCAAAACCTGATAGCACACCGTTGCGTTGATCGAAATTGATGTCACTTATTTTTAGAACAAAAGAGGAAAAAATCAGTACGAACAAACAAATACTCAGTTCAAACTTGTATTGAAGGCGGCTCACATGTTCTCACGTCTCAACTTCAAGCCTGGCACTCATTACTTAATTTACAAACCTAGTCAATAAATCTAATGTCTAACATCTAATATCTGAAATAATATTTTATAAATCGATGGCAACGTAACTCATTTTGGCCCACCCTTTGTATTACCAGCTAACCATTATTTCAATTACTAGCGATCACAAAGGCTATGTTGGCCTTCTCAGTATATTCCAGCCGTTGGGGATCCTTGCAGTAGACGCTCGGATGGAATCCAATAGATGCTCAGTTACCTTCAAAATTAATTAGGTAGTGTGAAAGGGACAAAGCTCGGATATGATTGAGTCGTCGTCTTTTGATCACTCAACAGATTCAACAGCACTACATCGAATCAACAAGAAAGGTTATGTCACTTCTCCTGAAGCTTGTACTATGTTAGTGCCGGTAAAGGATAATGGTCTATAAGCGCGGATTTCGGTCGAAATGATAGCTCATACGTCAAGTTTACCGCATCTATGAGATTTTTGCATTCAAATATTTTAGATTATATGTTTATAAGTGTCGTTAATATTTCTCCTTTTCACTTTAGTACGTATTGTTTTTTATATACCCCAAAGCTTAAAGATTTTGTTTTTTTTGTCACAATTCTATATATTTTGAATAACTCTTTCTATTCATACCGAGTGTTTTAAATTCAACTCTAACTATTGAGATCTCTGTAACGCAGGGTTTCCCAACCTTGTTCTTGTTGAGGCTCCCCAGACTATAAATTATATTTTCATGCCCCCATTTAGTTTTTCAATAAATACAAAAAATCGTATATTATATAGGTACAAAGACTTTAATTCTAATAAGGAAACTTTAAAAGTTTAAATAAACTAATAAACCTTTTTTATCGAAAAACTTGAATAAAATAAGAGTAAGTACTAATGAGACACTTGAGATTGCATGTTTTGTACCAGTTGGTTGATTCTAGGTTCTGTTTTTGCCAGAGCTATAATCCGGTCGCTATCGACATCTAGAAGATTTCGCTGTTTAGTTTTATTTAAAACTAGAGCAGAAAAGCCTGTCTCACATAAGTAAGTTGAAGGAAAAGGAGCTAGTATTCGTAAAGCAAGAGAGGCAAGTGTCGAATTAACAGGAAATCTTTTGATCCAAAATTTCTCCAGTGTTAAAAGATGGAAGTCATCTTTCATGGACGAATCAGCCTTCATTTCTAGAAATTATTCCGGAACTTCTTCTGGTAATTGTGACACATCGACAACAAATGGATTTCTTGTCATGGGCCATATTGGTGACTCTGAATTGATGTCTCGATAGTATCGGCGAAATTCGTCTTCCAGCGCTTGCAAATGAGTTTTTATGTCAGAAGAATATAACATACAATTATATCGAATTACATCAGGTTTTTCCTACAATGTTTTCTTAATTTTTTTACAAACTTCCCGGTTTATGTGTGTGTGCATGTATAAACTACAACAATGCAATCTTATCCATATTCTAATATCCTTCAATAAACTTTCTTGTATTTTACAACACAACTTCTTGTATGTGTGCACCTTATTGCAAGATCAAGCTAAAAACGTTAGAGTTACTAATTCTTTCAGTAGAAGTAACATGCAGAACTGAATAAAAATAATCTAAATTAGTGTTGAATCCATCGGTTCTTCAATAAACCTATATGTTAAGTTTTATTATAACTGCGAAAATGAACGTAATTTGGACAAAATACGTACGATATCTATAGCTTCAGCTAAATAAATCATCGAACTAGTTCTGAATTGAACCAAAGATGTGCAGATCGAAATTAACGTTCCAACAGAAATTGGAACTAATTCCGTAACTAACAGTTCTCTGTTACAAGTTCCGAACTGATTCCGAAGTTCTGAAGTGGTCCCTGCTTTGAGAGACAACTAAAATTAGAATTTGACAGCGCATGTGCGTTTACAATATAAATGGCGTCGACAAGCTATTCATAGCAAAGAAGCTGGATTTTGTGGCTGTCATTTTGTGCGTTTTCTAACTTTTCAATTTGACCGAGAAGCTAACCGGAATCGGCGGCATGTGGCGGCTACAGTGGTGAGCTAGCTGACAGCTTGTTGTTTTCACTTTCGCAGTGGTTGATTGAAATAGCACGAAATATGGTTGGACGTCGATACTCGGGTGAACAAAAGGTACATCACTACGTTATTTACTTGTTTAGCTCTTTAAAAAATAGTTACTTTAAAAGAAATGTCGCCACTAACACAGGTCATTTTTTTTACACTGGCTTTTTGTTCTAAATAGGGTGTTCTGTGCTTGCGTCTTCGACGCATTGTTCAAAATACGCCACGTGTAATTTTCCAAGGGTATGCGAAAGCTTTTTGCCAGATCTCGCTAAAAGTAATTGCACCATCACATCTTGCTTGTAATGAGGGAAATTGCTTCTCATGACGCCACTAAAAAGGGACTTCCGAAAAAGACGTTTTAAACACGAACGAAACGTGCTATCTGCTATCCGCGACCTTGGACTAAGCTAAAAGGAAGATGCACCATCCTCAGATGAAAGAATCAGTATTGCTACTAGGGACATTTTTCGCATCGTGCCCGCGCATAATGTTACGTGACGTTTGTTCAGACTCGGACAACCTCGGCCAGTCTATCACTACGTCTATTTCTGTTGTTTGTGTGGCTATAATATTTTCTTTGTCGCCAGGTCAATCATTAAACCCACCTATGTGAAGTGCGCTCAGAAAATCGGTTTTTAAACGCAAAAAGCTTCCTCCACCTCCGTCAGCAGCGTGTTGGATTAGGCGCTCTATTTGAAACCGCCGACGGGCGGAGCATGATGTTTATCGCGTCGTTCTCCTTCACGACAACGCTTGGCCTTATGTTGCGACAAGAACACAGATACAAATCGACAAGTTTTGTCGGAAACTTCATCCACCAAACAGCCCTGACTTAGCTCCAGCAGACTTTCATCTCTTTCTCAAAACATAAGAAATTTCTTGGTAAAATGATGACATGCCGAAAGAAACTGGCTTAACAATGAGGCGGCAGCGTTCTTTGACGACAAGACCCAAAAGCTGGTGTGGCCGTTTAACATAATATGTTTACTCTGTGCATTGCTATGTTGAAAAATGACAGAAAAATTTTTTCTGACTCCATTCCAAAACTGTTTTTACTCAAAAAATTACCTTCGTAGTTCCCGAATTAACACTAAAAACCGGAAAATTAATTGCTATACGTATATAATGACGTAATCAAAAACGTTGGGTACTCAAAAAAATTGAAATGGAGAGGTTTGATTTTTGTGCGAGCTACATAATATCAACCCGTAATTGCAATTTGACTCCTTGCTAGTACGTGTTGGGGAATTTCCCATTTTCTCCCCAGTCTATCTGACCAGGCGTAGAGGTACCTTTTCATCGAGTAGTATTGAACTAGCACAGAGACAGTTGCATTGTTTGCGTACGTTATTAACATTTCGCTACGACTTGTATTTCCGACTGAGTCAAAAAGGCTACAGGTCTGTGATAGTGTTATATTCTTGTTTCTGTATTTCATGAACCTGCTCGGTTTATTTTACGTTTTTATGATGGATTTTGATAGCAAAGCTGGTCCCTCAAAAAAAGTTAGATATAGTGATTCGGACTACGAAGAAACTTTGCTGAAATGGGCGGCTGAGGTGGATGAGGAAAATGAAAACGACAGTGATATTGATTCAGATACCGAGTTCATTTGCAGTGATCATGAGAGTGTTCGGAACAAGATATGAACAGAGATTGTGAAAGACTTTCTACTGAAAAAGATGAGACATCGAACGGCGCTTCTATAGGAAACTTCTATGAAAAAAAAAACGTTTCAAATGGTTTGTGTGGACTGTGGAAAATGTAAAAATAACTTGGGAAAACCTACTGCACGTTTCCAGAATATTATTTTCACGTTAATTTATAATCTACATATGTATTCTGTTTTATGTTTTTAACGAGTTTTGTATGAAAAGTACTTAGCAAGTTCATTTTTTTATGTTAAAAAGTTACCAAAAATGTTATTGTAAATATTCACGAAAATTTTGTGCAATAAATATATTTCTTTAAAACTTGGTTGCTTTTTACTGAAGAAATTTTTTATTTAAGACGATATCAAAAAAGATCCTATTTAAGTAATATAAGATAGAGGTAAACTTGTTTTTATTTTTCAAACATGTTTTCCATGACTTTCATTATAGGAGTAATTTTGACGCCACGTCTGTGGTTCAATTGATTGGCCGTCTGTGGTTACGGATTAACAATGATATTCAAACATTTGCGTATCGAGGATTTTCTGTTTGTTTGGAAATTGTACACTGAGGCGAGGGAAGTTCAGTGACAGCCTACTTATCACCATTTCTCCTGTTTCATATTAGCGTACTTACTTACAGGTACTCATTACATACGCCTTTAGGGTGCATATTCCAAAATCGGTCCAACAGAATGGTCCAAAGAGACTGTTGTTGGTCATAATACGCATGTACTAATAACGATAATAAACTTTTAGAGCCTAGCCTCAGCTTTGCGATTTGCCATATCTATGATTTGCAAATAGCAATGTCAGGCTTTATATTTGTGTATCAATGCGATTCAGCAGACGACGGATTGTTTAGTTTACTGGCATATAATAGGGAACCAGTCCCTGTTACATCGACTTATAAATTCATAGCTGGGTTAAACAGCATTAGAGGTGTGCACTCCCTCTCTGATGCGGAACGCTGTTAATTGATTCAGTTCACAGTATTATGTTCAACTAGGTAGTTACTACATAGTAAGCTTCTGCATAGGAATGGTTGAATCCCGCAGCTCCTTTAATGTTGCGAGATTGATGGGTGGGATTCATCAACCTTACACGCACTCCCGGTGGATTCCTTAAAATGAGAATATAGAATTTCTAAAGCTAGAGTACTTTTTCGACTATGACATAGTTGTGACATTGTGTTAAAATTTTCCCACAATATAAGTGATTCCTACCATTCAGACTTGACCGATTCTCAAAAACAGTAATATGTTTGGATCTCGCTGGTAACTATTGTCAAAACTTTACCAAAAGTAGCAACTTACTACTTCTAAGCTTTCAGAGGCCAAGGATTACCGGACAGAATATTCAAATTGCAATATCACAAATCGAATCTCCTTATTTATCAATGACACTAATATTACTAAGTGCTAGTTACATAAAGATGAAGCTCTTATGTTCTAATCGTGATATTCTAAACTTCGAGTGAAGTGCGAAAGCTTCATATCGTCAACAAGGGCGTCGCCAGCCAATGGCACGGGGGGAGCGGAGGGGTCAAGTTCATACGATGAATGAGAAATGTATAAACTGCAGGTAAAGTCAATAGCAAATCAAATTAAACAAGCCTACACACGTAGTATGGTGATTGTGATAAGAACAGTATAATGTCCAATGTACGGCCTTAAATCAAATTATGTTATTATATTTATTATAACTTAGAGTTTGATACTAGGAATAGAAATGGCGAATTCGTTCGAGTTTCGACCTGCAGGGATGATCGATTAAGCACATTAAGCGAGTGTACTTATGAATTTTATTGCTTTGTATTTCATTACATTTTTCGGGGTCTCTAGGGAGAGGCAACTGCCCACCTGCCATCCCCCCTCTGGTGACGCCCTTCATCGTCAATTTTGGCTTACTCTTTAGTCCTCACTTATCCAAGTCTAGATTCGGTTTGTAAGTCAAAATTGCAGAACAACTATTGCAGATTCAGATTTGGTCTTAGGAAGTACAGTAGCGTTTCTTTAAAAATCAAGGAGTTACAGTGGTTCAAAATTGATATTTTATTATATTTATCCCATGGTTTTAATGGTGCATAGAATTTTTTAAACTCTTAAACCGATAAATTGATTTCTCAAACCAAATTATTCTAAAATATAATAATTGTAAAGTCTGGTTTTATTGGTGCAAGTTTTTCAAGGGGGCATTTAAAACACGGACGCATAAAATGCGTACACCAATTTTTGTGGGAAAATTTTTTACTTGACAAAGAATGAAAAAACTTGTTTTTTGGGATCCAATCGAAAGTGTTGACAGCAACGAAAACACTGTCCATACAAGATTTTTAGGTATTTATCAGACCTACAGAATGAAACCACAGGTGAAAAGATCCGACTAATAGCAAAAACGTTATGGCCGAAAAACGAGGCAAAATGCAGGTTTTGGCCCTCGTTGGTAAAGCGACGACAATTTCACGCAACTAATTGAAATTCTTCAAATCCGTAGGATTCATACTTCTAAATAACAACAATACAATTTGAGTATATTGGTCAAGCAGTTTTTTGAGAATTTCTAATTGTTTATCCCAAAACACCTATCTTCCGGTTATCACTTCTAGTTTATTGAGCAATATACAGGGTTAGTTCAGAGGGCATTCAGTAGCAAGATGCACGCGTTTACCTTGCCGATATGAATAGTAAACCATTCCGAAAGATAAATGTTAAATTTATGCAAAAAAACAAAGGTTACATTTTTGCTTCTAAACAAATTCAAACATTTGTGAGTAATCGAACGATATTCGAAAATAATACGTTACTATACACATTTTAACACAAAGCGGATGTGCCTATCAACTTTTGTTGCGAATTACTCACAAATAGGAAATGTTCGAATTTGTTTAGAAGAAAAAACGTAACCCATCCTTTTTTGCATAAAAATAACATTTATCTTCCGGAATGGTTTTCGATTCATATCGGCAAGGTAAACTAATGTATTTTGCTATAAAATGCTCTTTGAAATAACCCTGTATATTGCTCAATAAACTAGTAGTGATAGCCGAAAAACAGGTGTTTTGGGACAAACAATTAGAAATTCTCAAAAACCACTTGACCAATCTACTCCAATTTTGTTGTGGTTATTCATAAGTACGAATCCTACAAATCTAAAAAATGTCAAACATCTGCGAGAAGCCATCGTCGCATTACCAACAAGTGCCAATATCTGCAGTTTGCCTCGGTTTTAGGCCACAACTTTTTTGCTATTAGTCGGATCTTTTTATGTGTGATTTCATTTTTTACTTAAAAATCTTATATTAAGAGTTTTCTCGTTCGTGCCAACACTTTCGGCTGAGTCCCAAAAAACACGTTTTCTCATTCTTTGTTGTCGAATAAAAAGTTTTCCCACAAAAAGTGGTGTACCCATTTTATGCGTCCATATTTTAAATACCCCCTTGAACAACTTGCAGCAATAAAACCAGTCTTTACAATTATTTCGAACACCAGGGGTATTTTCGTCTAATATTATTAGACTGTAACAAAGAAAATCAAAAATAGCTACGAAATAAACTAAGCCTGAAATACTCTTCGGAGACTTGTAGGGAAAGGTTTCAACTTTAATTTAGACACTTGGGAACCTCAAATCAAGTAATTTTGAATTGACTTTTCAGGCATTGAAGATTTTGTAGGGCCTTTCTGACATTGAATGGCTTGTAACCCGAAAACGGTCAACTTTAGAGAAAGGTTACTGAGAACCATTTTGGTTCAAAATGATCCCAAACCTTGAAAAAACCGTGTTAAAAGTAAAAACACCTAACTGGGTTCAAACTGAAATGTGAGAGAATACGTCGCCGATCCCTAGAAATAGCCTTGCTTTGAACATTTTTCAAAATTAATGTCTTTGATGTTTCCAGATGTCCAAATTAAAGTTAAAACCTCACCATACAAGGTTTAGAAGAGTGTTTTATGCTTACTTGATCTGAAAGCAGCTTTTATCCTTGCTTGGTTAGGATACCAAGAGGAGAACTTTTGTGCGTGGCACTTTTTTCCCAATAAAAAGTTGTAGATATTAAAGCAGATTTATCGGGCACATGTTGCGCAAGATACCAACTCGGCAACATGTTACGGCACATATGTTCAACCAGGTGCGTTTGAGCAACCCGCAGGAGCATATGTCTAAAACTTTTTACATTATACACGCACCTTAAGATTCGTAATAAGTTGATATGTTTGTCGTCCATGTTATGGGGTCTGCATTAATACCGAGATACATTTTTGACAATTTCCTAATCTCCTCTCCTTCTCTAGTCAGATGTCGTCATATTTCAAAATTTACCATTTTAGTGTAAATACGTTGGATTTATTTCAAAAACTCAATTTGCTTCATCATTTTTATTTTAGACTAATTTGGTATTCATGATTGTTAAGATCGTCACACACTCAGTGATAAGATTGAACAAGAACCATGTTTTACTTTAACCTAATTTTCTCGCAGTGTAAGACTCTTCCGTGAAAAAATTTGTGTTGTGTGCCGTGACCTCCATCTGCCTCACGTGAGATAGGGTGAGATTCGGCTTCACCCCTTCCTCAAGTACCTACTTACCACAACCAATTGATGGATACCCCTCTGCGTCTGTAGCGACCCCAGGAAACTACAGTTTGCTAATGAGTGCACCTGTAATTCCAGTCAGACATAAATCACATTTCACTGTTTCCATTGTGTAAATACTACGCGTAAGGTTGAAACGTGCGCAATCTTGGGCTCTAGGAAGCAGTGAGGCGTGTACAATATACGCAAAACGAAAATCCACCGGAGACACGAATAAATTACCTACAGGGATATTAATTGTGTATACTGTATACAGGATCAGGTGATTGAATAAAGTATCTGGTTCAATATCAACTACGTGAGAGAGTGAAATTGGTATACAATGAAATGATTTTGTTTGCTTTTCGTTTCAGGAACCATGATTACCCTCATTTAACGTTGTTTCACGCTTCGGTTTAGTATGGT